CCCTCGCCGGAGCTCGCCGCCGGCTCTCATTGAAAATGAATGACTTCCGGCCACTTTGACGCTCTCGCCGGCTGCGGTGTGAACGCACAGTTAGGCTACACGAGTTCGATTTGGGAATAAAGTGCGAGTTGTGAGATGTCAATCGTCTCCGTGTGTCTGTCTGGCCTCTGCATGCAATAACTTCAGTTGTGAGCTACCCCTAATCTTCCTGAAGCAACGCGTTACAAACTGTACTTCAGTTTCATTGCGGGGACACCACCTTCACCTGCCATCATGTCTATCGGCTCGCTTTCGGGTTAAACTTTCCGCGACTGCGCTTGCCAGGTTGAGGTGACAAACGGGTTGAAATTGTAAATGGTCTGTGGATTGTGTGAATATAATGCATTTAATACAATCTGGCAACTGGTCAACATTAGCAAACATATTGGTCCGATTATTCATAAAGGAGTTTGGGCCATGCAAATTACGGGAGTTTCCCGGGAAAAATAACAAACCGGGAGGGGTCCGGGAGATAGGGCTAAAAAACGGGAGAAACCCGGGAAAAACGGGAGTGTTGACAGGTATGATGTAAGTTCATAAAGTTATAACGTTAGACCGTTTCCCAGAAGGTACACATAACCTTACATACAAAAATAAGTTCAATGAAATAAATGAATTCAGCAAATAAATGTAATTGTACTAAAATGTAAATGTTGGACAATAAATATATAACAGCAATAGAATAGCTTTATAGTAAACTGTTTTTTTTGCAGTACTATCTTATATTAATGACCGTTAAAGCAAGCCTATGTAAACAAAAAAACACAGCCACTGTCCAAAGTGGCAATTATAACGGACAAAGCAATGCATCATGTTAAGATCATCATGTTTGTAGCATTATCCAGGGGATTAAAACGTACAAAATATATTTCAGGCCTAGTGGAGTTGGTAACTAATAATAGTAGTAAATGTGTAAAGTTGCGAAATACTCACTAATGCAAGAAAAAACTACCTCAACAAACTGTTATCTGTGCTGTTGCCCAGTAACTCCAGTTGGAATTTTCACCCCAAAATGGCGGCCGCGCTACCGAAGCGCCACCTAGTGGCTGTTACCAGAAAAGCATCGGACTTTCGCCTCTTGTTCTTCTATACTCTTTGGTTCCGTTCAGAGAAATCTCACGCTTCACCTTGAATTAATTGAATTAATGCTGAGAAATAAACAGCTGTGCTCGTGGATATCTTGTTTACTTCAACTCTAACTTGACAAACTCCATTTTTAGATTTTTATTTTAGACATCCAGATTTTTATTTCAAGTGTGCGTTTTAACTGCCTGTGAACCTGTACTACAGATTTATAGTGAAATTTAGCGTTTTTTGGACTTTTCAATCCTTCAAGAAATGTGTTAATGTTTAAAGAAATTGTTTGAAATATAATTTAAATGGTTAAATGGCTAATGTCACGAGGAATCACCGTTCTCTTGATGTTTTCTGCTCAAACTCAAATCTTCATCCCGAGTTTAATCTGAGTGTTTTTGAGAGATGAACTTGAGGACCTCAGGGAAAGCACCAAATAATATGACCCATTAAATGTGTGTTTGTGTAGCATTGCTGTCCTCGTGGTGTGAGGATCTGGGTCGACTTCTTTTGCTGCGTCATCAAAAAAGCAGACAACCCGATCCATCAGTGGGGAAAAACCCGATGCAGGCCAACATCAACAACATGAAGCCTGCGCTCTCTCACGGGTCAGTTTCTCCCACGCGCACACATTCATTCACAGTTTTCCACTCATTAACTGTTGTTTACATCCTTTTATTATCTCCATAGTGATGCACCATTTCAATATGACTCCGTTTCCTGGCAACAAAACACCAATCAGCCGCCGGGTTCAGTTTCAGTGGTGACCACCGTATGGGGAGTGACCAATACGACACAGAGTCACGTAAGAATGTATTTAAATATGTATTTTTTGTAATATTTAGGAGGATCTGCTGACAGAAATGCAATATCATAAACATAACTATGTTTTCAGTGGTGTATAAAGACCTTACATAATGAACCGTGATGTTTTTATTACCTTAGAATGAGCCGTTATCTACACACACCGCGGGTCCGCTTACATTGAAATAGGTATTTTGCGCCGCCGTGTTTCTACAGTAGCCAAAGTAGGACAAACTACTACAGAGCGCGTTTCGTCACTATGTTGTTCTTCGTGCAAAGAAGCGAGCAACTAACAATAATATTCACAATAACATCGTTTTACTGAATAATTAAGTAAACTTTTTTCCTAATTTATCTTTGTAAAGAAACCGCGTTGCTTAACTGGCTACTCTCTGCGGTCTCAGACGACGACATCACTTCCTGTCGACCACCGTAACTTCTGTTGGGTGCAATTCGCAACCTCACCTAGCCTGGGTTTCCCCATACTGCCTTTGCCAGCGTGATTTTATTAAGATTTTATTTTAGTCTGGATACCATGGACCAGATTTCCGCCTCAGCGAGGGGACCAATCACAGAACCGGGAGGACGCAGCAAGACGATGACGACGTCTATGCGATACACCGAAGCAGTTTGTTTATACCAATGGATCCAACATGGCAGCAGACGCGAAGCTACCTTTCGATGCAGCCTTAGATCTTGTTCTAAGTAGTTTAGAACGCAAATAAATCTCTGACCCATCGTCTTCTCCCTCGTCTCATTTCTGTCGCTCTACATACGTCATCTGGTATAATTGAAACGATTGGCTATGAGCTACGTACAGGCGCATTTGATAGACATTCGTAGCACCCAATAAACGGCTCTGGGCATTCGTAAACCACGCCTCAAATACGAGAAAATGAACATGTGGTTCCCAGACCCCGTCTCAATGTCAGTGAGACGAGGTCTGACGTCAGCCAGGCTAAACCTCACCACTAGATGTGCCTAAAAATTATACACTGCACATTTAACTGAGTTCAGAGCATGTTGCTGTTTGAGTCCGTGTCATAACTGTGTGTGTGTGTGTGTGTGTGTGTTTAGGTGTTGGCGAACCCCATGGCAAACCCAAACAGCCATATGAACCCCATGACTGGAGGAAACGGGGTTATGAACCCGGGACAGTTCACTGCACAGCAGCAGTTCTCCTCAAAGGTTAACCCAAACCAGGCCTACATGCAGCAGGAGATGTACGGGAGATCCAGCTATCCCGGAGGAGGAGGAGGAGGAGGAGGAGGAGGAGGATTCGGGGGCAGGTCAGTGTCTCGCGCTTCTTATTACTCATACAACTTAAAAAAAATGCCTGTCAATTTTCCATCTGTTCTAAGCTACGGATATTTATATCACCTCTCAAACAGAGTACACTACCTGTCAAAAGATTTTTAATGTTTTTAAAAGAAGTCTCTTCTGCTCACCAGGGCTGCATTTATTTGATTCAGAATACAACAACTGTAATATTGACAATTTAAAATAACTGTTTTCTATTTTAAAGTGTAATTTATTCCTGTGATCAAAGCTGAATTTTAGCATCATTACTCCAGTCTTCAGTGTCACATGATCCTTCAGAAATCACTCTAATATGAGGATTTGATGATCAAGACACATTTATGATTATTATCAATGTTGAAAACTGTTTTTTTTTTTCAGGATTCTTTGATGAATAGAAAGTTCAAAAGAACAGAATTTATTTGAAATAGAATCTTTTGTAACATTATAAATGTCTTTACTGTCATTTTGATTCATTTAATTCATCCTTGATGAATAAAAGTATTGATTTATTTTATTTCTTTACCCCAAAAAATAAAATAAAAATTCTTACAGACCCCAAACTTTTGAACGGTAGTGTTTAATGTTACAAAAGATTTCTATTTCAGATAAATGCTGTTCTTTTGAACTTTCTATTCATCAAAGAATCCTGAAAAAAATAGTTTTCAACATTGATAATAATAATTAATGTTTTTTGAGCATCAAATCATCATATTAAAATGATTTCTGAGGGATCATGTGACACTGAAGACTGGAGTAATGATGCTGAAAATTCAGCTATGATCACAGGAATAAATTACACTTTACTGTATATTCACATGGAAAACAGCTGTTTTACATTGTAATAATATTTCACAATATTACTGTTTTTGTTTTTTGTTTTTTAATCAAATAAATGCTTATTTTTGACTTATTTTAAAAACATTAAAAATCTTACCTTTGGTAAATCAAAAACTTTTGACTGGTAGTGTACGTGAACAAATCAATCAGTAAAAACAGTTCTAAACGCTCCCTGTTTTTTTTTTTGTTTTTTACTTTTACATTTTTTTTAAACTACATTTTAATGGTTAAATTCAATTTTAGTAATCAAAAAGCATGTCTAATTAATTGAAATCATGAAACTTGTACAATTTGATTAACAGTTTAAAAAAGTTGAAAAATTACTATGAAATAAAAACAAAATTCTTCAAAATTTCACCAAAAGTTTTCAGGATTCCATAATAATCAAAAGGCATGCAAGTAATTGAATTCATAAAAACAACAATTAATTAAAAAAAAGAAGAAATTCTATAACTTTTTTTTAGTTTAGTCATAAATTAATTAAAAATGTAAAAAAAAAAATGTATACAGTAATGCACGTTACATGCACGTTATACAGTAAATTCAACTTTTTTATGACTGAATTCCACGATTTCGCCTGTTAGAATGCGTTTACTGCAGTCCTAACCTCTCTCTCTCTCTCTCTCTCTCTCTCTCTCTCTCTCTCTCTCTCTCTCTCTCTCTCTCTCTCTCTCTCTCTCTCTCTCTCTCTCTCCTGCAGTTATGGGGGCGGTCCTAACCACTCAGGTGGGATGGGCCTGCCTTCACAGACACGCCCCCCTTCAGACTTCAGCCAACCAGCTGCCGCCGCGGCCGCTGCTGCCGTTGCTGCTGCCGCCGCTACGGCGACCGCTACTGCCACGGCAACGGTTGCCGCCCTACAGGAGACGCAACACAAGGACATGAGTCAATACGGCCCGGTGAGGGAGCATCTATAATCCTGACGCAATTATTTCTAAGTGAAAGTTCAGTTTGAACCAAGCGGCAACCTTCCTGTCTCTCTCTTGAAACCAAGCGTGCCTCGCAAGTGCTGAAAAGTGAAGCCAAAGCGTTTCGAAAGGGTGAATTTTTTTATAGCTCATCCGTTTAAATTATATTAAGCCTTAAAGTTCTGCATTATTAAGGGCTTGGCCACTTGAGTGACAGGTGGATTGCCGCTGATGTCACTACTAGCCGTTTGTCTGCTGTGTGTTAGCGTCACGTCACCTCAGCTAATCCGCCTCACTGCACATTTTCGTTTATCCGGGAGTGATGCGCTGCCAAGATGGCGACGGCCGGCTCCGCCCACTTTGTGCTTTAAAAATGCTCTTCAGAAACACTACGCCTGATGTCACGGACACTACGCCCATATTTTTTTACAGTCTATGGTTTGAACAAAGTGTTTTGTTTGTTTGTCTTCTAGATGTGTTCCTCCTTTCAGATGGGACCAAACCAGGCTTACAGCACTCAGTTTGTGAATCAGCCCGGCCCCCGGGGGCCCCCTGGCACCATGAGCATGGGTCAGCCTCGGGCACAGATGGCACAGATGGGGTCATACGGGGGTCACACACAAAGGATGCCTCATCAGGGCTATGCGCCGCGGCCCATGCAGGGCGTGAAGAGACCGTATTCTGGAGAGGTGAGGAAACCTCATCTTAAGTCATGCACATCACACCAGTCCTCAGGTCTTTACACTGGCTCCCAGTTACATTTAGGATTGATTTTAAAGTATTATTACTGGTATATAAATCACTCAATGGCCTAGGACCTCAATACATTGCATATATGCTAACCGAATATAAACCTAACAGATTATTAGGATCACATCAGTTAGAAATACCAATGGTTCACTCTAAGCATGGAGTCTGCTTCTAGCTATTATGCTGAACCAGCTTCCAGAGGAGATCAGGTGCGCTCCTACAGTCACATTCAAATCCACTCAAAACACTTCTGTTTAGCTGTGCATTCACTGAATGAGCACTGTGCCACTGTTCGTCCGACTGATTACACTGTTTTTTACTTCCTTTTTATTCTAAACTGTTTTAAATATTTTTATTTATTTCGATTGTTTTAATTCCTTCTATGTAAAGCACTTTTAATTGCCATTATTTATATACATTATTTTGGTTAGTTATAGATTCAAAATGCTGTGAAAATGCAAACTGATGAATCCTTCCAAAATGCTCATTTATGCCTGTTGTACCTTTCATTAAAGTTCCTTATAAATAAATGTATAATTAATATGTATTTAATAGTACATAAAATTGCGTGACATATGTACACTCACCTAAAGGATTATTAGGAACACCTGTTCCAATTTCTCATTAATGCAATTATCTAATCAACCAATCACATGGCAGTTGCTTCAATGCATTTAGGGGTGTGGTCCTGGTCAAGACAATCTCCTGAACTCCAAACTGAATGTCAGAATGGGAAAGAAAGATGATTTACGCAATTTTGAGCGTGGCATGGTTGTTGGTGCCAGACGGGCCGGTCTGAGTATTTCACAATCTGCTCAGTTACTGGGATTTTCACGCACAACCATTTCTAGGGTTTACAAAGAATGGTGTGAAAAGGGAAACACATCCAGTATGCGGCAGTCCTGTGGGCGAAAATGCCTTGTTGATGCTAGAGGTCAGAGGAGAATGGGCCGACTGATTCAAGCTGATAGAAGAGCAACTTTGACTGAAATAACCACTCGTTACAACCGAGGGATGCAGCAAAGCATTTGTGAAGCCACAACACACACAACCTTGAGGCGGATGGGCTACAACAGCAGAAGACCCCACCGGGTACCACTCATCTCCACTACAAATAGGAAAAAGAGGCTACAATTTGCAAGAGCTCACCAAAATTGGACAGTTGAAGACTGTAAAAATGTTGCCTGGTCTGATGAGTCTCGATTTCTGTTGAGACATTCAGATGTTAGAGTCAGAATTTGGCGTAAACAGAATGAGAACATGGATCCATCATGCCTTGTTACCACTGTGCAGGCTGGTGGTGGTGGTGTAATGGTGTGGGGGATGTTTTCCTGGCACACTTTAGGCCCCTTAGTGCCAATTGGGCATCGTTTAAATGCCACGGCCTACCTGAGCATTGTTTCTGACCATGTCCATCCCTTTATGGCCACCATGTACCCATCCTCTGATGGCTACTTCCAGCAGGATAATGCACCATGTCACAAAGCTCGAATCATTTCAAATTGGTTTCTTGAACATGACAATGAGTTCACTGTACTAAATTGGCCCCCACAGTCACCAGATCTCAACCCAATAGAGCATCTTTGGGATGTGGTGGAACGGGAGCTTCGTGCCCTGGATGTGCATCCCACAAATCTCCATCAACTGCAAGATGCTGTCCTATCAATATGGGCCAACATTTCTAAAGAATGCTTTCAGCACCTTGTTGAATCAATGCCACGTAGAATTAAGGCAGTTCTGAAGGCGAAAGGGGGTCAAACACAGCATTAGTATGGTGTTCCTAATAATCCTTTAGGTGAGTGTATGTGCTCACAGCTGTTTTGTGGTGTTTTTACCTGTAGTAATCATGCAACTAAAATCTCTGTAGTCAAGACTCAGTGTTCTTATATCTGTGTATGATTTGAATGAAAGTGTGTGTTTTGCTCTAGGGGAGCTACGGGCAGCAGTACGGACCAAACGGGCAGTTCTCCTCTCCTCAGGGGCAGTTCTCCTCTCAGGGGCAGTTGTCCTCTCCTCAGGGGCAGTTCTCCTCTCCTCAGGGGCAGTTGTCCTATCCTCAGGGGCAGTTGTCCTCTCCTCAGGGGCAGTTGTCCTATCCTCAGGGGCAGTTGTCCTCTCCTCAGGGGCAGTTGTCCTCTCCACAGGGGCAGTTCTCCTCTCCTCAGGGGCAGTTCCCGAACCCCGTGGCCAGCAGAAGCCTCTCCTCGCCCCATTACCCCGCGCAGAGGACGCCGGCACAGTACCAGAGCGGCAGCGTGGGACACTTATACAAGGTAACTAACATTATACTGCCTTTTAAGACAACTTATTTTAAAGGTGACCTATAATTCAAAATTGAATTTACCTTGGTATAGTCAAATAACAAGAGTTCAGTGCATGGACATGACATAGAGTGAATCTCAAACTGGACTGTTTTCGCGTTCTCATTTAATTCACGTTTATGAAAAACACCCCTGAAAAACGGTCGGTTCTCCACACAATACCGACTGTGACGCAATAGTCGGGATCATTAATATGTACGCCTCCAAATATTTGCATAATGCCAGCCCTCAATGCCAGGCGGAACTGCGCAGCCGAAGCATGGCAGTTGCTCAGTGTGGATGTACACATGAACACAAAAGTATTTTTTAGTTCCTTCATCTGAGCCTCTGAAGAAACAATGGGTTAATTTTATTTTCTCTGGAAATTTCCAAACATTTCACCGACTGTTTCCTCAACTTGGGCCAATACAGAGCTGGCCTCGGATCGAGCTACCAAGCAACACTTTCTGATGTGTAATTGTTCAAGTTCAGACAGGTAATCTTTCTCTCAAAATCGTTCAATACTGTTTATGCACGAGTAAGTCAAGCCAGTGACTAAAATATCAGCTTCACATCGTTTCTTTTAGTAGGATGAAAATAATCGTATTTAAATTGTGAACAAATTATATACAGAAAGCGATCAAAGAACAATCTTTCCACAGCGCGAGTTTATCTGGACACTTGCCAAACTCGTTATGAAATCAATGACGCACGTTACTGCACAACGAAGCTCTTACTGTATTTACATCATCGTGTTTGCATTGGTGAAAGCAGAGAGAGTGCAGAAACTGCTTTGCAATGATAAGATCTTCATTCTCGCGATCACTGTCATCTGCTCAATGCTCATCACGGCAACATTTTATGTGATGGGAATAGATCTAAATACTTTAAAAACATCTCACGATTCGTTAATCTCGATAGCTGTTATAGTAAAAACGTATAATAGCAGTAGTAAAAGTATTCGGGAGAGAGTTTCACATGTAATGCGTAGCTATTTCAAATGCAAGCATGTCAGCCAATCACAGCAGAGGCCGCGGTTACACTGAATCCCACAGCAGACACGCCCCTTCAAACAGAGTGTTCAAATCAGAGGCTAAAAGCAGGCTAGGAAAAATGCCATTTATTTCTAAATTATGATTATTTTTTATCTAAAAAACATACTAACATTATAAGGGTAACCCAGGAAACATTATAAAAAATAAATAAAAAACATTCTAGGGCACCTTTAATAAAGAAATACCTTATTACAAAATAAATTAGTGGTGGAGAAAAAAATCTATTCTGTTACAAATTGTGATTCTTCAGAAATTATTTTTTAAAATTTGTGGTTGATACAATAAAAAGTAACTGTAATACTGGACTAAACACCGCTTGTTGGAGAGGAAAGGATCCTGCTAGGCTCTAGTTCCACTTGATAGCCGGATACACCCCTGGGTGTCGGTCAGGACACAAAGAATGAGGAGACTGGTGCTTCTTTCCAAAGTGTATTGAATATTAGCTTTATGGTCATGTACTAATACTTTTAACACCAAAACGACAATGAACATCCAAAGAACAGGGAGGAAGATACTTCTAGGTGCGCAGCTGCCTTTCTCTTATACCTCGTTTCCACCAAAAAAGAACTGGTTCGGAACTGGTGCTGGTTCAAAGTTGGTTCAACTTGCGGACCTTCTCAGAACCTGTTTGTTTTTCCACTGACTAGAGAGCCCAGCAAACGATGTCGTTACGTCACTGTGTACGTCGCCATACGTCTTAGCCCGACGTAAGCATGACGTGGTAAAAGAACGGTTCGAGTCTAGCTAAGAGTTGGTGCCGCTTTGGAACCAATTGTCCTGGCCGAGAACCGGTTCTTTGGCTGTCGAAACACAAAGAACTGGTTCTCGAGTAGGCACCGGCTCCGAACCGGCTCTCAAAATGCTTTGGTGGAAAAGGGATAAAAGTTATCTATATTGACGCAGCAGGCACCAAACGATAACAATAATGCCTCCTACCGGAGGCATCGGGAATCGCACTCTAAAATAACTATCAAAATAAAAGTCCCACAATAGAAGTCTTCTTTCTCTAGAAGCCAACGCAAGTTTGCAGGACGGTTTCCGTCATCTGGCAGAGCTGGGAGGATCGCCAGACGTGCTACTGGTCTAGTGTATACTTGCCTCTTTATTTCTACATCAGCAGACCTGACATGTCCATCCGGACTGCGGTGTGTCTTGATGACATGTCCAACAGGCCAGAGAGCCCTAGGCATCTACATGTAGCCTTTTTTTTTTTTATTATTGTGGCAAGCAATCATAAAATACAGCATAGGCCTATTGCAAAAAAAAAAAAAGCTATTTACTGTGAGAAACGGACCTCGGGTTCGGCTCGGGCTTAAAATATAACCGTAATGTTCGGGTTAAATGATTTCGGGTTCGGGCTTAAGTTTAAAGCCCGTGCAGACCTCTAATGTGTTCCTCTGAATGATGTATGTTTGGCTCGTCTAGTAGTCGTGTATTGAAGTACGTAAGCTGTTCCTTGTTCCGCATCTCAGGTCATTGTTTCAAGCTCTGGATTTTGTATTTTCATGTTAGCAACGTACCAATGTGTCTTTCTCTCCATCTCTACTACAGGAGTCCAGTAATAACTTCAACACGGGGACCTTTCATTACAACCAGTCCAGCATGAACGGGGTGTGTTGATCAGACGTTCAGTCAGAGGCAGGTTCAGATGTTTACTTGTAGTGACGTATGATATGTTGATGTGTTCGTAGCCTCCGCGGTCGATGGCCGGTTATCCTCTCTCTCCGTTACCGGGAAACCCCACGCCCCCCGTGACTCCGGGAAATAACATGCCACCGTATCTGTCACCAAACCAGGACATAAAGCCCCAGTTTCCTCCTGATATCAAACCCAACATAAACGCACTGCCGCCCCCTCCAGGTATGAGCCTCTTCCTGTGATGCTTTGTCTTGTTTTCCTGCACAAATATCTAGTCAAATGTACTGTAAAGTGCACTGCAAAAACTGATTTTCTTATGTGATGAAAATCATTTCAAGTTTTTTGTCTTTGACAGAATGGTCTGAAAACAAGATTATGTTTATTTTCCTGTTGACAGATGTTTTGTTTTAAGCAGAAACTGACTTTTAATTTGTATACATATTTTTCAGAAAACAAGACTTAAGTACTTTCATCTTCAGTAAATGTATCTTGATTTAAGAATGTTTTTAGATACTTGTACTAAAAAACAAGACAAACATTTTTGAAAATATTGTTTTATCATGTAAGATTTTTTTGTTGTTGCAGTGCATATTACAAACAATAAAGTCTCTCATCATTTTCTATATTATTTTTTCCCCGTAGCCACTGCAGTTTAATTTAGCTATAATGTAGCTTATAAGCCCTAAATTCGTGAGTAATCCACAACGCCACGTCGCCACCGTTGAATAGATTGTTATATTTAAAGTTTAGTTTCAGTAAATGTCCGAAATGGAAATTGTGATGTCACTATATTGAATCATTAGCTTGTCATCTGCATCTTGTTTCCTAGGTAACCCTAACGAGGAGCTGCGCCTGATGTTCCCGGTTCGGGACGGTGTGGTTCTGGACTCGTTCAGACTCGAACACAACCTGGCCGTCAGTAATCACATCTTCCACCTGCGGCCCACCGTCCACCAGACGCTCATGTGGAGGTGAGACGCCGTCACACACACACACACACACACACATAAACACACATATGCTGCTACCTTTGCATTTTTCTTAGTTAATACAATCTAAAAGTTCATTACAAGGGAACAATTTTGTTGCAAATCACGATTCTTAAGACATGCGACTTTATACTTTTTAAAATTATTATAATAATGAAATGAAAAATATGTTATTATAGTTAATTCTAATAAATTGATACAATGCAAAACCTGTACTCTACTGGACTACACTCCACTGTTTTATTTATTCTCATTTATTTGTATTATAATAATAAAAGTAATAATTTATTATATTTTTTTATATTATTTATATATTTTATTAAAGTATATTTAATTTTATTATTACAGCTCTTTATTATTTTAACTTTATAATTATTAAAAAATATATAATTACATTTTTAAAGTGGTTAAGCCGAAATCAACATCCTGGTCATTGAGATGTATAAAATGCATAAAAAATATTGTATTATCAAATTGAGCACAATCAATTTATAAGCACTCTACTATCACATAAACACACACATACACACACACACATGTATAAACATTCAAACACCCACACAAAGACTTATATTCACGCGTGTGTGTGTGTGTGTGTGTGTGTGTGTGTGTGTGTGTGTGTGTCAGGTCTGATCTGGAGCTTCAGTTCAAGTGTTATCATCATGAAGACAGACAGATGCACACTAACTGGCCGGCGTCGGTGCAGGTCAGTGTCAACGCCACTCCTCTCACCATCGAACGGGGCGACAACAAGACTTCCCACAAAGCCCTGCACCTGAAGCACGTGTGTCAGCCGGGCCGCAACACCATCCAGATCACAGTGTCGGCCTGCTGTTGTGTGAGTTTACACACACACATTAGGGATGGACCGATATGAACATTTTGTCCGAAACCGATAATTCTTTATATTTAAAAGCCGATAACCGATATATTCGCCGATAAATCTAAATCCAAGTTTTTATATAATTTTTGAGAGCCTGATTACAAAAACAAAAGTCTCATCATTAAAATCCATGATGTTCTGATTATAATTTTATGTAGCCGATATGACAGTTGCGCTGAACATTTTGCACTATATTTTCCTTTTTGAAGTGATTTCAATCATATTTCAGGCAATTCAAACCATCATGTTGAACAGTGTCTCAGCTGTAAAATTATACATTATTTATCGCCTTTAATATATCAGACAAATTTTCTTATTGTGCCGATAACATTACAAATGAACATATATCGGCCGATACCGATATGGTGGCCGATATATCGTGCATCCCTAACACACACACGCACACACACACGTCAGCTGAGCGTTGTGTGAGTGTTTATCGTCTGTTCTCTCTGCAGTCGCACCTGTTTGTCCTTCAGCTGGTTCACCGGCCGTCGGTTCGATCGGTTTTGCAGGGGTTACTGAGGAAGAGACTCCTCACTGCTGAACACTGCATCACTAAAGGTAACGCTAGCGCTTCAGTCTGCCTGTATTTCTATTGGTCAGGTTCATTGCTCAGTGTTGTGATTACGTGTGTCTTCAGTGAAGAGGAACTTCAGCAGTGTGGCCGTGTCTGTGGCCGGTGCCGGACTGAACGCTGACGATGGGGTGGAACAAACGGCCATCAAAGTGTCTTTAAAGTGTCCAATCACGTTCCGGCGTATTCAGCTGCCGGCGAGAGGCCATGACTGCAAACATGTGCAGGTCAGGAAGACTTATAAACAGCTTAAACACCGGCTTTGATATCTATAGCATGGGGGGGTTATAAAATGTATTTTTAGGGCTGTGAAAGTCAACTGTAAATCTGCTCGGGAAAATTACTACAGATAAATTTTAATCGAATTTAAAAGAATTCTCTTCAGGTTGATGCATCTAAAATTAGTCTAAAAGAGGGTAAAAAAAAGACTCAAATACAGTAATTAATGCAATGTCAGGATTTTAAATTTAAAAAATAAAATATATATATATAAAGTAAATTATTTAATTTTGCAAAAATGCTGTTTATAATATATATATATATATATATATATATATAAATCCTCACACAGTATAAATTAGTCTTTATATATGAAAATACACTACTTATTTTTTGTGTTTTTGAAAGAAGTCTCTTCTACTCAGTAAGGCTGCATTTATGTGATAAAAATACAGTAAAAACAGTAATATTGTGAAATATTTTTACAATTTAATATAACCATTTTCTATGTGAATATATAGTAAAGTGTAATTTATTCCTGTGATCAAAGCTGAGTTTTCAGCATCATTACTCCAGTCTTCAGTGTCACATGATCCTTCAGAAATCACTCTAATATGATGATCTGATGCTCAAGACACATTTATGATTATTATCAATGTTGAAAATCAGGTATTTTTTCAGGATTCTTTGATGAATAGAAAGCATTTATATGAAATAGAAATATTTTGTAACATTATAAATGTATTTACTGTCACTTTTGATTAAGTTTCTGCATCCTTGCTTAATAAAAGTATTAATATCTTTTTTTTTTTTATCTCAATGGTAGAGCGTGATCCATTTATATTTTAGAAACGTGTCTCTCACGAAGGGATCATCATATTTGACATCAGAGCGTTTGAAAACCGCTGTAATGTCTTGTTGTGTTAATGTTGCAGTGCTTTGACCTGGAGTCGTACTTGGAGCTGAACTGTGAGCGCGGCACATGGAGATGTCCGGTGTGCAAGTAAGAACCCGTCGGTCCTGAGTTCACGTCTGAGATGCTTGATTTGTGCAGAACTGATCTTCTGTTTCTCCTCTTCAGTAAATCCGCTCTGTTAGAAGGTCTGGAGGTGGATCAGTACATGTGGGGGATCCTAAACGCTCTCCAGAAGTAAGTCTGTCCTTGTTTCGGCTTAAAAACAGTTAATTTTGGCTTTGTAAGTTTGTGCAGTTTGGAAAAGGAGATTATAAGACCTTGAAACAAACCAACCCGTCTGGTTTTAGATGTCACTGGACTGTAGGGCTGCCCTCCACTAAAGATTTTACTAGTCGACTAGAAGTCGTTAATTTAAGCCGTTAGTCGACTAATCGTGCGTTTATATATTTAAAAGCCATAAATCATAAGAATTTTAAGTTAAATGCAAGTGATTGCGCCGACGCCTGTATAAGTCATGCAGTAAACACGCTCTCTCCACACAAACACTTTGATATGGATAATAATAATAGCGCACATCTGTCTTAGGCCATGAGACGGGACCCCAAATTTGGGCTACCGGTACCATTTTGAGGGATTAAATTTCTTTTTGATTTTCATGAAGGTACACATCTCTAGTGTTGGAAAATGTGTGATAGCATCCGATCCATGGTAGCTTTCATTAGAAATCAACACTTGTATCATCCTACCTCAAGGTAAGGTGTTCAGTGACTACAAGAGAGACAAATTTATCCTTTTATAATTTTAAAAATGTATTTAAAAAAATTATAAAAAAAATTATTATAAAATTGTATACATTTTTTATAACATTTAAAATTTATTTAAAGATAAATTCATTTATCCTTTTTCTTGACACGTTTGAAAATCGTCCTCCGTAACCAAAAACTACCTTGAATCTAATGCTATCACACATTTTTCAAATACAGGGTCATATACCTACACAAAAATCACCATGCGGTTTAATCCCTCAAAATGGTACCAATCAACTCTCTGTCTCACGGCCTATCTAGGTTAACATTAGAGCGAGCGACTTCTGCTTCTACTTACATGTTTCATGTGATAAGCCATATTTGAGGTTGAGGAATGATAGGCGAATGTTTGGATTTTCTGCCGTTAACGATCTGTCCGTTACAGCATGCGTGATTTCACCACTTTTCCGTTTTTGAGTTTTAGACTAAACGACTAATACAATTTTGGTCGACTAAGCCTCTTCTATTTGGCTAACGGTTATTTGACTATTAGGGGCCAGCGCTACTAGACTGATCCACATTCAGCTCAGAGTTCAAGAAGGTCATGATAGACCTTTTGTGCAACTGAATAGTCACACTTGGTCAAAAATAATCGCGTTGGAAATGAATAGGAAAAGAATTTAATCTAGTGGAAGCGTTTGGTACTGCGGCCAAACAAAATCTCACTGATAATTTTTTTAAATATCAACCTCAAATTAGGAACAAAACTTGTTTAGATTTATGGATTTGATTTTTTCCCCCCACAGTTTTAGAGTAAAATGTCTTATATTTAATATTAAAAAATATTTTTATTTCTGTGCGTTTTTCATAACAATAATTTCACTTTTTAAAACTTGTCACTTCAGCTATAATCTGCCAAGTGTCTTCTCAAAAAAGAGACCAAGTTTCAGTCTGCGCTACAAAACATTCAAGATTTACGACCGTTTAAGTTGGAAATTTCATTTTTTTAGGTCTATGTTTAAAAAGTGATTGTAACTACTGCATAAATATAATTTAGTACCATAAACATTACGGTTAGTGGACTATTATGGCTCGTTTCCACTGAGGCGTACGGTACGGTACAGTACAGTACGGGTCGGGTCGGTACAGCATGATCCGGCTAGCGTTTCCACCGCCAACAGTACCCTTACTTGATAGGCGTGGTGTTTAAATACATTGTAAACATTATAAGCACACAAATGTGGTTCAGGCAACGCATAGCCTATTGAATATATTCATTTGATGTATGTAACGTTATATTTATAACAAAACTAAATATAAAACACAACCCTGCCTCTTTTCGTTTAAATGTAAAAATATTAAACATATTCCAGGCAATGTATTGCATATTGCCTCGGTACAAATGTTGCAATAAACAACATTACAGATGATCTTGTAATAAATTTAAAAAATGACAAAACTATCTCTTTTTGTTGAATTTCAGTTTTATCAATAATAGCCATTATAAAAGTATAAGTAAAAGGTACAAAAATATATACAGTAAAGCTTTAATAACATAAAGCAAACAATTCAGTCAAATATACAAATTCAGCACTCAAAAAAATTAAACTTCACTTAGCCTTCTGCCAAAACTATTGGCCAGGGAACGAATTATAGATTCACGAGACCAAAGATCGCCTGTTAGGTCTGTACAAGACGAATTATATCTCATGTTTAACCACTACAGAGACGTCAGAGTCAGCGGCAAACATCAGAACGGCTAGCCGGGGAAAGGCTGCTCCAGGCGGGGTGCACGAGCACCCGGTGATTGCTTGGAATGGATCTCAGTCAAATTATCATAAATCTATAAATAAACCACAGATTTGAGCTTTAAAAAACTACTTTCTCGCCTGAAAAACTCTTAAAACTACAATTCGTGACACAATAACAGTAGTATTATATTTCAACTGTATGCTGCTAATGCCCTTGTAGCACGCGCAAGTGACGATACTCTGTCAACCAATCAGCGTTCTGCAGTGAGTCTAGCTCCACCTTTTAGTACCGTACCACTGTGCTAGGTACCCCAACGGAAGGGTACCCAAAAAGTGGTACGGTACGGTTCGGCTTTTTGGTACCATTCACAACTTTTGACAGTGGAAACGCAAATAATTGCGTACCGTACCACTCAGTGGAAACGAGCCATTAGGGGCCAGCACTACTAGACTGATCACTGGTCCTCTTTCAGCTCGGAGTTCGAGGAGGTCATGATAGACCCGTCGTGCAGCTGGAGGCCGATCCAGATCAAATCTGAGCTGCACATAAAAGAAGATCCGGACGGGCCGATGTCCAAGCGCTTCAAAACCACCAGTCCCAGTCAGACGGTGCTGCCCAACGTCACGGACATGATCGCTCAGCTCGGCCCGGGAGCGTCTCCGTATCCCAACCAGAACCAGCAGAACAACAGCACTAACCAGTTCACCAGCCCAGGTGCGTCCCACTGAATTACCCACAACACTTAGTGCTGCACGATTAGGGTTGAGAATCAAAAATCGAATCCAAAACTTGAGGTCAGGAATCGGATACTTGTTATAAAATGAAAATTTCGATTTCTCTCATCGATTCCTTTGTGAGCATTTCATTATGACTTGTGCACTGTCACCTCTGTGATTGGTTTTACCAGGCAACAGTTACCAGGGCCACAGTAAGTTTGGTGACTATCCCCATGGCAACCCTGCAGCATCATCAGTTAGTGAGTTCATCCAGGGGTCGCAGCTGTCACGCCCCCCCGCTGACCTGCCGACCTCTGGGAGCGGCCTGACACACACACTACACGACACGGTGAGTCTCAGTGTGCCAGAGCTCTGCCTAACGACGTGAGTGAGTGAACTAGTGTGTGAGTGTGAGTGAATGTGTGAGTGAATGTGTGAGGGAGTGTGTGAGTGTGTGAGTGAGTGTGTGAGTGAGTGTGTGAGTGAGAGTGAGTGTGTGAGTGAGAGTGAGTGAGAGTGAGTGTGTGAGTGAGAGTGAGTGTGTGAGAGTGAGTGTGTGAGTGTGTGAGTGAGTGTGTGAGTGTGTGAGTGAGTGAGTGAGTGAGTGAGTGAGTGAGTGAGTGAGTGAGTGAGTGAGTGAGTGAGTGAGTGAGTGAGTGAGTGAGTGAGTGTGTGAGTGTGTGAGTGTGTGAGTGTGTGAGTGAGTGAGTGAGTGAGTGAGTGAGTGAGTGAGTGAGTGAGTGAGTGAGTGAGTGAGTGTGTGAGTGTGTGAGTGTGTGAGTGAGTGAGTGAGTGAGTGAGTGAGTGAGTGAGTGTGTGAGTGTGTGAGTGAGTGAGTGAGTGAGTGAGTGAGTGTGTGAGTGCGTGTGCGAGCGAGCGAGTGAGTGCGAGAATGAGTGTGAGTGAGTGTTTTAACCGAAATGAAGCATTGAAAATACTGACATGTTGTGCATCCTTAATTTATAAACACGTTAATTCATGTATATTTTCTGATTTCTGTTCTTCACAGACGCCTCACCCCCTCAACACAGTTCAATCCCACAATCCCCTGCAGCACAGTATGCGTGGGCCGCCCAGCACTCAGCGGTTACATCACAACGCCCCGCCCCTCCCCTGCAGGCCGACGCCCACCCAGCAGAGCTCCGCCCCCAGCAGACACATGACCACAGAGATGACCTTTAACCCCTCGCCGGGTAACATGGAGGGTCAGAGCAGCGCAGACGTGCGCGAGGCGTCTTTAGATGTGAGTTCAGACTGACACGTGACACTTTTTAAAAAAATTATTATTACAGGAATGCATACAGAAATTTTACAAAATACACATATCGGCCAAAAACAAAACAAAAAAAACAACAACAATATAAGAAGAGACGAGAAGAAAAAAAGGTAAAGAAAGAAAAGACAAGGAAGACCTTATAATTAGAAATAAATGTCCTTTAAAATACACATATCGACCATAAAACCCAGAAACAACAACAATATAAGAATAGACAAAAAAAAAAAGAACAAGTAAACAAAAACAAACTGATAAGAACGTAAATGTGTACCTTGAAATGCAATGTAAGTCGCTTTGGATAAAAGCATCTGACAAATGCATAAATGTAAAGAAAAGAAAAGAAAAGAAAAGAAAGATCTTATAATTTGAAATATATGTCCTTTGGGGGTGTTGAGTGTTTTAAGGTATTCGGTAATTTAACATCTTTTACCCTTTCTATTTATCTTTTTTATTACAGGAATACATACAGAAATTTCACAAAATACACACATATCGACCAAAAAAAAAAAAACTAAAACAAACACAGAAACAACAATATAAGAAGAGACGAGAAAAAAAAAAAAGTAAAGAAAGAAAAGACAAGGAAGATCTTATAATTTGAAATATATGTCCTTTGAAATACAAATATTGACCAAAAAACCCAGAAACAATAACAATATAAGAATAGTAAACAAAAACAAAAAAGAAAGAAAGAAAAGAAAAGAAAGACCTTATGAGTGTTTTAAGGTATTCAGTAATTTAACATCTTTTACCCTTTCTCTCGTCCCCCACTCTCCTCTCCTCCCAATCCTCCAAACAATAACACTGATAATAAAGCCATATGATTTTAGGATTAATATGGCTATCTGTGCACTTCCCCGAGTGACTCGTGACACTTTTGATCACCTGGTTTTCCGTGATGTAAGGACTCATGGGCGGATCTAATCCGTGGGGAATTTGCATATCATAATTAATCATTGGTAATTAATAATTATTCATACATGTTTGGATTAGATCAGTCTTACATGTTAATAAATCTCCCGATAAGGGAGGATCTGTCATTTTACCTGCATGCATGCATGTGAATCCTTGAAATTAACCACAAGTTGATTGCAATTAATTACACGGACCACGTTTCACAAAACAGGTAAAATGAATTAGCTCAATTGTCAGGATAATATTTGTGGGGATCCACAATATCATCTTACTTTATAGGATTTCAGGAAACGCAATTCTCTGGCCAGAAGAATTGGGTTTCCCGCCCTATAAACACATACTCTTTAAGGTATATTTAATTTTAGTAAGCTTGTAGCATAAGATCTTTGGCACTTAAGGGACTTGAAACTGAGCAAAGAGACAGCACATCAATCAAATGAATATATAATTAATTTAATAGAGGCATGACTACTTATGTGTTTACTACGGTTACACGGGATATATATGTATTTACAAACACATAGACATCAATGAACAATACAATAAGACATCAATGAACGAGAAATGCGTAAAGTTTGGACAATGGATAACTTACAGGCGTGAGCGAGTAAGAGAGAGAGAGAGAGAGAGAGAGTGAGAGAGAACATTGGCAGAATTCCTCCTAAGACATTCACCTCTCCGATTACAACACAAAACATCATCTTAAAGTTCCTTAGAAGCTCTATAAAGAGATTATACTTGCGCAAGTTATGTTATGGTCTCTCTGTATCGAGGCATTCCTGTACGGCCCTGTCTGGCCGCGTGAGCTGAGTCCTTTGTGTGTGAGGAAGCGTCACGTGGGCTGCTTGGCGCGCGTGTTGAACGGAGGTTCAAAGTCTTTGGGGTAACATTTCCAAAGGGAAATAGTTCGGCTGAGTTCGTTTCACTTCGTGGAAGTGAACTGAGTCGACTACGGAAAACAAAACTTTGACTAACAAAAAGGAAATAAAGATCTCGACGGGGAAATCACGCGGAGTTAACGTTACATCTTTGCATGGCTGGCGAAGAAGCGCGTGCTTCGCTCGGTCCGGCGCGTCACGCGGTCACGTGCGCGTGTTTCTCCTTCAAAGCGAGCGCGCGCTCGTTTAAAGGTCCCTTGTAGATGGATTTGCTGAAGAGATATGTCACGCGGTTTTCTTTTCACTCGTCGATTGGAATTAAACACGGAGACTTATCTAAAACTGAAAAACACAAACGAAACTAGAAACAAATAAAAAGAAAGGCGAAGAGCTCGCCCGGAGGCGAGACGTTACATTATGACACGAGGACAAGGGAGGAAGAGAGCCTTAAGCCTGCGGTTTGTCCTTTTGAAGACCTGACGTTTCCGCCTTCTTTTGGAAGAGGGTCCAATCAGGAGCTGTCCCTTTGGAGGGAGATTTTATGACCCTTTGTGTTATAACCAGGCATTTAAATCTCTAGTTTCATTGGGTGTTTAAGAGAAGAATCTTCACAATTCTTATAATACTAATGTGTCACAAAGTTTAGCAAAATGCAATGTCAATTAACAAATGGGGAACGAAGATTGGAGTTTATCGAGACCAAACTTGCCACAAATGGATTTGGTTAAACCTTAGTTGGCAAAGTTTGAAACATTATCCCATTAGAGTTGTCGAGAAACATAGACCAAACCACAGAAAGGCAATTCATGAAATAGGGAACTTAGATACATTGTTCATACAATTCTCAAGTGGATATATAATAATATATATATATATATGAATACAGGATTCATTTCTCCTCCTTGGTTAGAATTCAGAGAGAGCCACAGTTCTGTGAACATTCCTTTGGGTCGTAAACGCTGTTAACTAACACCAGTGATGTTAGTTTTGGTCTCTTTTCACTCCAAAGATGGAAAACATAGTAAACTATATTTTACTGGATATTACTGTACGTATTCTGATTGATCACACCGAAAGCATTCTGGAGGTGTCCAGAACTATGTGTACCAGTTATGGGAATAGACAGTTATATTTAAAATGCAAAATGAAGGTATTTATAATTCACTTTAAGCTACGATAAAATCATAGTCATTCCAATGTGACATGGGCAAATGGACACACATAAAAACACATTGAATATATCTGGTTAAATGTCTTTTAAAAAGAGAAGTTTCTTTTCTCTTGAGCATCAAATTCCAAGTCAGTCATAAAAATGTCTCGTAACTGGACACCACGCTCTGTCCTGAGCGGGCTTCACTTGTGGGGGATGCGTGTGTGTGTGTGTGTGTGTGTGTAAATTTACATTCCAGGCTTTTTGGGTATTTAACAGGATGTATTTAGTTATTCAGATTCACCCTTTTAGCCCAGTCCTTACAGTGATATTGATGTGATTGTGTTTCCTCCTCCAGCTGCTGCCAGAACTGATGAATCCCGATGATCTCCTGTCATTCCTGGATCCTCCTGAGCTTCCCAGCAGCAGCAACGACGAGCTGCTGTCTCTCTTCGAGAACAACTGAGACCGACGAACCCTCCACTAGCAGCTCCTCCATACTTGACCAACACAAATGCACTTACCGTCGTTTCCTCTTCCTGTACAGATTTTAAAACCAGCGTGAAGACACCAACCGTAGAGGTTGTGCTACAAATATTTATTCATCACTAAGGATTCTCCGTAAGGTTTCAGTTCTTAACATTAGTTTACTATATAAAATACTTCTAGAGCATTTAGTTATCTTAGTTAAGTTTAATTTCAACATTCGCTAATACATTATTAACCCTCTGATGCTCTTCGGTCATTTTTGAATAAAATTGTTTACTTTTTTTTTCGTCATCAGAATAGTACGACACTTGGTGAAGGTTTTGCTGTGTGAACACAAAAAAAATTGTTTGAAAATGTTAAATGGTCCTGAAAAAAATAGTCACACTTGTATTGTTCACGGTCGAAAATGAGCGCATTGGAAATGAATGGGAAATTAATTTCCTCTAGTGGAAGCGTTTGGTACTGCAGCCCAAACAAAATCTCTCTGAAAGCTAATTTTTTAAAATATCAACCTCAAATTAGGAACACAACTTGTTTAGATTTATGGCTTTGATTTTCTCACAGTTTTAGAGTAAAATGTGTCTTTATATTTCATATAAAAAATGTAAATATCATTTTTGTGCATTTTTCATAATAATAAACGTAAAATTCTATAACTTTTTTTAAGTTCACTTTTTAAAGCTTGTCACTTCACCAATAATCTGTCAAGTGTCTTCTCTAAAAACTATGGAAGCTTGTTTCCGCCACAGAATGAAAAATAAAAAAGGTAATTGCGACTTTTTATCTCACAATTCTGACTGTTTTTCACACAATTGCGAGATATAAAGTCAGAATTGCGTGATATAAAGTCAGAATTGCGAGATATAAAGTCAGAATTGCGAGATATAAAGTCAGAATTGCGTGATATAAAGTCGCAATTGCGTGTTATAAAGTCAGAATTGATTGATATAAAGTCGCAACTGCGTGTTATAAAGTCAGAATTGCGAGATATAAAGTCGTAATTGCGAGATATAAAGTCAGAATTGCGAGATATAAAGTCGTAATTGCGAGATATAAAGTCGTAATTGCGAGATATAAAGTCGCAATTGCGTGTTATAAAGTCAGAATTGCGAGATATAAAGTCGTAATTGCGAGATATAAAGTCAGAATTGCGAGATATAAAGTCGTAATTGCGAGATATAAAGTCGTAATTGCGAGATATAAAGTCAGAATTGTGAGATATAAAGTCGTAATTGCGTGTTATAAAGTCAGAATTGTGAGATATAAAGTCAGAATTGTGTGATATAAACTATTCTGACGGGGAAAAAGTCAGTCTTTTTTCCCTTAGAATTGGCCTGATAACTCGCAATTGCGAGTTTATATCTCACAATTCTGAGAAAAGATGTCAGAATTTTGAGATGTAAACTCGCAATTGTGAGAAAAAAAGTCAGAATTGTGAGATAAAAAGTCTAAATTCTGTCTTTTTTTCTCGCAATTGCGATTTTATTTCTCATAATTGCGACTTTATATCTCGCAATTGCGACTTTATTTCTCACAATTCTGACTTCATATCCTGCAATTGTGAGATAAAAAGTCACAATTTTTTTTATTTTTTTTTATTCAGTGGCAGAAACAAGCTTCCATAAAAAAAGAGACCAAGTTTCAGTCTGCGCTACAAAACATTCAAGATTTACGTCCGTTTGAGTTGGAAATTGAATTTTTTTAGGTCTATGCTCAAAAAAACCATTAAATTGATTATAATAACTACTGCATAAATATCATTTAGTACCATTAAATTCCCTTTTTGAAAATACACAATATTAAATAAAAACATTATAAAACTAAAACGGTGCATTCATTTCATTTAAATAAATACATTTTAAAAATCTGTAATTTTTGACCAGCATCAGAGGGTTGCTAAAACCATTTAACTAACGTTAACACAGATTAATAAACACTGTAGGAAAAGTATTGCTTATTAACCAATGTTAACTAACAGAACCTTATTGTAAAGTGTTACACAGATACTTTATTTTTATCAGTCAAAATTACAAAGCATTTCCATTATCGTTCAGCGTTTTAGGCATTTAATGGAAAGTTAGCGCAACCTCTTGAGCGTCCAGGGAAAGTGGAGCTGAAATGAACTTTTCAGTCTTTTTTACCACATGACCGTGAAATACATGTACAAGCGTTTTTTCTACTGCTTTGATTTTGATATGAAGAACCAGACCAACATCCGTCCGCTGTCGTTCTGCATCCTCTGTTCCTTATAAGCAACTGTGTTTCTGTTTTAATCTGAGCACAGATTCCCAAATATTCACGCAAACATCTCAAAAGCACAGCGCTTATTCAAAACAACTCGCACTACAGGTGAAACCCGAAAAATTAGAATATCATGCAAAAGTTCATTTATTTCAGTAATTCAACTTAAAAGGTGAAACTAATATATTATATAGACTCATTACATGCAAAGTGAGATATTTCAAGCCTTTATTTGTTATAATTTTGATGATTATGGCTAACAGTTTATGAAACCCCAGTCAAAATTAGGATATTGTGAAAAGGTTTTCATATCTGTAAACCATAATCATCAAAATTATAACAAATGAAGGCTTGAAACATCTCACTTTGCATGTAATGGGTCTCATTCATGAAACATTCGTAAATATACGAGTAAATATGAGAGTGATTTGCGCGTAAAGAGACCTTCCCGAAAACTATAATTCACAAATACACGTAAACGTCAGATGTGATAGTGAAGTGTGTGTGTGTGTGTGTGTGTGTGTGTGTGTGTGTGTGTGTGTGTGTGTGTGTGTGTGTGTGTGTGTGTGTGTGTGTGTGTGTGTGTGTGTGTGTGTGTGTGTGTGTGTGTTAATGAATTCCAATCAGTCGTAAATGGGATGCGCGTGCACGCTCATTCTCAATTTCCATAAATCCCGCCTATTAAATCCGACTGGCAACTATATATGGGCATCATATTATTTGATTTGATTTGATTGTCTGGTAAATTCACGATGAAATAACCAAAAATGTATGTTTGCCTACCCTATTTATTTATTTACCCTATATTATGACACCAAACGAAGGACTTCAACATGTCTTCTCAAAAGCGAATGAAAAAGAAACATTTCTCAGATGCATAAATCGAAGTTATATTATCAGAAGTTCCTTCAAAACACCACATTTTATTTTCAAGCTTAGGCTATAGTGGCGTATCAGGTCCTAAAAAAAGGCAGCTTGGCCGCATATTACAGATGCACTAAACCCTCTGGGGTTCTTCGGGTCAAAAATGACCCGAAGCGTTTAAATAAAAAAATGTTAAAAATCGTAGCTTCATCGGAATGGTCCAAAACTTGGTGACTTTATTGGTACTTGGTATATGAACACCCAAAAAAATTGGGGGCAGGATTTGAAAAGTCTAAGTGGTCGTAAAAAAAATAGTCACACTCAGGGTCTTCGGGTCTAAAATGACCCCCATAGGAAATGAATGGGAAATTGGCAAAAATATGAAAATACAGAGTTTTTTTGTGCATACAATCTACAAAACAGACAGGATGCAGAAAAAAAGCACACAACCGTGAAGGGGTGAATCTCTTAAAACAATGGGTGACAAAATGCTTTCCATTTGTTCTCTTTATAATGCAGTGTTCAGGTTTGAATGTATTATAAATTAAAACTGCCACTTCAAATTACCATTTAAACCAACCAAAAAAAAATTTTTTTTTTTTTTTTATTTTAAAAAATGACAAAAATAGTCTTTGAGAATCTGTTATTATATATTCAAATCAACAACCTGAAAAAAATTAAACAATATGTGAAAAAATCACTAGAGTGTTTCTACCATAGGTTTCTACAGAGAGCTGTAAATCCACTAGTGGTAAAAATGTGCTATTGCGTGATAAAAATGCTCAGTGTGTCCACCAGATGGCTCTGATCTCATTTCAAAAATTGCTTTCATGAGGCCTAGACTTGACTCTAAAATGAAATACAGCTTTAATAAAAAAAATAAAAAAAATAATTATATATATATATACATTTTCTATTATATTCAATGGGAAAAAATGGGTCTTATTTATTGCATAAATATTAATTATAAATCATAAAATTATCTCAAAACACCAAAAAAGAAAAGAAAAAATATTATTGAACAAAAATATATTTCATTGATTTTACTCAAATAGAATGTATCTTAATGCCGCCCTCCGGGTCATTTTTGACCCAAAGGTCCTGAGTGTGAGTCATAAATGAAAAACCCGGAGTTTCATCTGTTAATCAAACAGTCCCAGAAGTTAAAAGAAAAACCGTATGTAATTACTATATATAATCTTTTTCAAAATGCTGTGTAAATATGTACCCGATTAAGGTGAATTAAAATGCAGCCTTAGTTATTAATGAGCAAAACGTTCGGATGTTAAACTCAGTATTTACGCGTGGCTGGAGCAGGTGTAGATTTCTGTCGTACCAACTAACATTTGGAAAATACGAACATTTTAATAAATCCGAAAAATTACGCCAGAACCACTTTACACACGATTCACACACAAATTCGTTCTGCTCGTGTTTCATGAATGAGACCCAATGAGTCTATATAATATATTAGTTTCACCTTTTAAGTTGAATTACTGAAATAAATGAACTTTTGCACGATGTTCGAATTTTTCAAGTTTCATCTGTATTTGGAAACGTAAAGGGAAAAAAGGAAATCGTGCTGATTTACTTGCATTAAGAAATGAAACACACTCAAGTCGTTCCATGCAATTATCCGTCTAGTTCACTGCTGTTCATAATGCAGTTGTATTATTTTCATGTAAATATTTGTGAATACTTTTGTATTAGTTGGTCATCCATTATTTTTCTTCCGCAACTATATGTCTATGAATATTCATAGAACGACGGGCTGTGTTCAGAATGCAATACTGTATTATAATGCATACTAATATATAGATTGGCATTGAAATATACTGTACACTACTGTTCAAACGTTTGAGGTCGGTGAAACTTTTTAATGTTTAAGAAGTCTCTTAAGCTGCGTTTATTTGATCTAAAATACAGTAAAATTGTGAAATATTAAAAATTGCTGTTTTCTATATGAATATATTGTAAAATATAATTGATCAAATCTGAATTACTCCAGTCTTCAGTGTCACATGATCCTATAGAAATAATTCTAATATGATGATTTGATGCTCAAGAAACATTTATGATTATCATCAAACTGTGTTGCTACATATTTTTGGGGAATTTTAAACATAATATTAATATTATTTAATATTTAAACTTTAGATTGATTGAGCCACTTTTGATCAAT